ACCCATGGCCCCGATTCTCTTTGCCAAACATTAGTGGTATCCAATCACATTTTCCTTGGAGAAATATTTTCTCCTTGATGTCCAAAGATGTTGCCAAGCGCTCAAATAAAAAGTTCCTCTGAAAGATCTTTCAGTTCCGGTAACCCAAAGTACTGCAGTCGCCAACAGCCAAGATTGCACTTCTCAGGTTTAGAGGTGGTGGTGTTTAGTTTGTTTCTGTCTAGTGCCTTGTTGGGGTTTGGTTGGGTTTTTGGTTGGTTTTTTTGGTTTTTTGTTTGTTTGGGGTTTTTTTTGACACATTCACTCCCATCTTCACTGTACAGAAAAACTTCTCAGGATTACAACAGCAATTACTCAAGCTCCAAAATTCTAGTTCCCCTATGTTTCTTAGAGCTGCCACCATATCCTCTGCTATAATGCAATGTTAGTAACAGCTTTATAAAGATTGCTTACATACAGTAATGTAAGCAAGATACATTCGCAGCCTAAGTGACTTGCCTTTAAATAGTTCTGATCATTTTTTTTTTGCTTAACCCTTGCTTTCTTTTTAGGTAGTGAAATACCAACTTACAACCCAATACAATATTCAGGTATTAGGCTTCCTGTTTGTGAGTAGGAGTCAAATGTCTGCATTTTAGTTATTCTAGATGCATCTTTTATTTAAAAGCAAAAATAAAATTGAACCACACCAGCCCTTGAAAGGAGCCCAGAAGAAGAACTACTTCCACCCCAGCAAACCACACTTGACACATGGACAGGCCCACAAGGAGCACTGGCTCCACACGGTGAATATTCAGAGCTGAAATTTTACTTCCCATCTTCAAGAGCATTTGAAAGAAGTAATGAGTTCCCCCCAGTTTAGACACTGCCCTGAAGCAGTGAGTCAGCTGTGTGTGACAATGGCAAGTTGTTAGTCCATCTGTGTGTTTTACACCCTTCCCCACGCAGATGCTAGGCATGCCCTCCAAAGTTTGTGAAGATGCTGGTACTGGGCTTATAGGCTAAACGAGCTGGTCACCTTTTCCAGCATTTATCACTACATACACAATTCTCTGGAACTGGTTCTGTCTGGTAGGACAGAGGATCTTGAACCTGTTTCTGTCAGTTGCTATCCAGCCTCTCCAGACAGAGTCAGGCAACTCTGATTCAGCAGGCACTCCACCGTGAACACAGCTCCACAGCAGTGTAATAACACAGACTTCAGTGCAGGTGCAGTAAATACTTATATTCAAGTTTGACTTTACATCCGCAAAATAAAGCTATTTATTATGACAGCTGATGATGGGAGACCCAAGGTTCTGCAGATCCATACCCACTCCCCCCCGCAAAGCAGATGAGGTCAAAATCCAGTTAAGTCCCATGAATTTCTTCAAAGTCTTTGCTGCTCAGTACTCATAAATTCCCACCACGTATTTGCAAGTGCACACAGCACCCTGCATACCTGCAGGCAAGGTACACACGCTTACAGTGACTTAAAGTGGTTTTGAGACTTTGAGTTTGCTATTGTCACTTAGCACTCTCCCCTCCAAAGCATTCAGCAAGCACAAAACCAGTACTTTTCAGTCTGATTATACTTACCAGTATGACTTAGAGATGTGATCTTTCCACTCCCGACCTTAAAGTGGTCAACACAGCCAGATGTTTTACATAAGGTACAGGCTGTCAACTTGCTTCCTCTCAAAATTTGCAAGCGTCTTTCTTTTGAGAAACACCCAAGAGAGACTTCACCTTTCCCTGGTGCACTGTTTGACTTCACTATGCAGAACGATCCCCCTGCATATTGTGCTTAACAATGTGATAATTAAAAAACAATCGGGTCTACACAGGATGGTTGCAAGTGCGAGAAAGGCTTCTTCCTCGTTCAACATCAAACAAAGATGGTAAAGAGACTATTTCAAGAGAACATGTAAGAAGTTATACACCACTGAAGCATGGAAAAAGCCTCAAAGCGCTTTGGGATCACCTCAGTGCTGCTGTACTTAGGTTTCAGCTTAACACACCAGCAAGAGCCATCACCTTAGAGCAGAACTGAGCAGAACAGGCACCCAAGTGCCATGAAAGGTGCACTAAGGCTGGCAGACTCATGTGGATGTCGAGGTAACTCTTCCTGAGCCAGCACAAGATAGACAAGCACACACAGGGGGGCTTCACAAGAGTTAGCGCAATGGCAGAAGCACAACTAGCCAGCTGCCTCCTTGATTACCACACAGTCATTAAAAAACAGCTCGTCAAAAAGCTTAGGGAAATCGTGTGGCATCTCATATTGGCTGGCATCTGTAGATTCTGCCATTCTTCTGCCATCTTCAAAGGGCTCATAATCCACTGAGAGCTACATAAAACTGAAGAGCTCCCATTAAACCTTACAAATCCTGTTTGAAGAGGACTTTCATTTTGCACCTCACATACCTGTCAGGAAGTGGTGAAAAAACTAGAGCTGCCTCTATGTCCATCATCACTCTCCAGCCAGCCTAAACTTGCTGCTGTTTTTGAGGGAGAAAATTCATCAGGAAAATGATCACCACACCCAGGTAAACTGTACGCAGTCTAAAAAAATCCCAGATCCTTCTTCAGAGTAGAAATAGCTCCAATTTAAAAACAAACAAAAAAACCCAAACCAAAACAAAATACTACCCCCCCAACCCACCAAAAATCCACATGCCCCCTTTATCAGGGACATTTATAAATCAGTTGCTACAGAGTAGTTTTAAAAGTTATGAAGACTACAAATAACCACATAGTTTTCAAGAACTTTCATACATCATCTTTTTTAATTAGATTAGCTTTACAAGCAACTTGAGAGCTCTTTCATAATGAACACTGCTTTTCAAATTACACAACTTTATAGGCAACCTGTAAATGAATCCTGAATTTCTTTGCCTGCTTTAGATAAAAGGTCTCATATTTCACAGCCAGCTAACATCATGAATAAAAATAGCATTATGAAGCTTTATCTTTAACCAGGACTAGACACATACAGATCATAAGACAGTTTAAAAAATAGTTTTAAAACAAGGACCTGCTTGATGATGCTCAAGACTGAATATTCAACCAACATGAAATGAACGGTTTCTAAATGACATGGAAGAAATGGCTGACCTGATTTGTTGACCCTATTGTAATGACTTACATGGAGTGAAAAATTAAGCACTTTTTAAACCTGTCTGGCAAGCACAAACCTACAGTGTGATTAGAATTTGATACGCCGTGTAACTGCGGAAGTTTGAATTACAGAGGGACTGAAACGAGTTTAAAGGCTTATGCTTACATTTATAAAACAAAACCAACCAAACCTCTGTTAAAGTAGTACTAGAGAAGATGAAGTAGAAGAGGTGGCTTTTTTGCTTGTTTCATTGGTAGCCTAAATGCACTGCAGACCAGACAGTAATGAAGATTTGCACTCCTTGGCCAGGTTGGCAGAGGCACTTAGAGTAAAGGTATCCTGCCTGTTTTTCTGGGAAGAAAAGAGGAAAGAGGAAGAGAACTGTAAAGGGCAAGAACTTACTAAAAAAGAAAAAGTGAAATCAAAACAAAACTGGGATTTCTGTTGGCTCTCCTAAATGATATACCAATACTAAATTTTTTCCCCCTTCTGTCAGTGTTACTAAACAATTAGCTTTTTCATGTTTTACATGAACAATAGTAATCTTTTTAATAAAAAATTACTGAGCTTTCCATAGAAAAGGTCTCTAATTGAATACAAACTATACAGATGTTAAAATTGTCACAAGTTGTAATATATACAGAAATATTTCTGTACACTCACATTGTTTTGGCTAAGTGAGGAAATAAGGGACAGATAGAAAACTGCAGTGGGTAAGTTGATCAGCCCCCAAACTCCTGTAAATATGAATGCTGTCTGTTATAGGTTCGCTTTTGTTTCTCAAGCTTTTAAAGCTCAGGGGGAAAAAAATGATTAGAAAAAAAAAAAAAGAAAAAAAAAAAAAAAAAAAAAAAAAAAAAGAAGTAAAAATCAGTGTCCAAAACATCTATTTCTTAAAAATAAGAATATCCAGGTTTCTGCACATCTCACTTCTATTCTGTGATGTCCCCTCTCCTTGATAAAATTAAAACAATGTAAAAGTAAATGTTTTCTTACTAAATATATACCTCAGTACTGATCAAAGGGCAGTGCCTTTTTGGGGAAATCCTTCAGCACAGTGAAAACCTAAAGATGTATTGCACAATGAGCCTACAGTGATGCACTTCAGCTTCAGTGTGCTGACCATCTCCTTGATACTATATAATAGATCAAGGTGTGAACTTATAGACTGCCTGTGACACCAACATTTGAAAATGAAATTTTAAAAAAAGTGAATTTTAGATATTCTATTAACTTATATACAAAGGAAAGGGGAGTGGCAAGTATTCTTTAGAAAAGGGAGAAAGATCAAAATTTTCTGTCAAGTATGTAAGGAGGTTCTGGGTACCTCTAATAGCCTAGGAAAGCCCTTGTATATTCTTGTAACTTGATGGTATTTACCAGGTCCCCAAAGCCAATGACAGCAACCGATAGTGTCAAGTTCACTTAGTGCCAGTCACTTAAAAAAAAAACAACTAAACAAACAAACAAACAAAAAACCACCACAAAAAAAAAAAAAAACCACAAAAATAAAACAAAAAACCCACCAAAAAACAAAAAAGAGACAGAAACTTCCCCTCTGTGGATTCAACATACAAAACCACAAACTGAATGTTACTAGTAGCGAGATACTGATTTGCTTCTGTTATTAAGGTTCAAGAGGACATAGTCAAAAAAAAAAAAAAAAACAGTACAGCAGCAATCTTTAAAAGTTAAGATTAGTGTGAGATATGATATAAAACAATCAGGTTTTTAGCTGGTAATTAAAGTGCTCCTTTTCTGACTTAAGGTGTAAAGAAAATTAAAGTGATTATCAGTTACTGGCAACCCTTACATTAAATTAGGTCTTTCATGGCAGAGGAGAACAGTATGAACAGTTTTACAAAAATAGATCCATGTTATTTTGGAGAATACTGTAATCTTTTTTCTTTTTTTTTTCTTTTTTTTTTTTTCAGTTTTTCTTTTTTTTTTTTTTTTTTTTAAGACTCAATTTTGATAAACTGTACCTGGTCATACAAAAATTACCCAAAATTCAAACTTTTACCATATAAAAAAAGGGAGAGATGAATTGGATTTAGCTGGATGACAGGTCTGGCAAAATATAAGGATGGACAAATTCTATGTAGGGCACTTATTTATGTCCAGATGCATACGCTGTTTCTTACTGATTGCTTATCTTCTTCACATAAGCAGTCACAGGCCTGGAGTCACAATCACATAGTACAACGCTTCAGCAGTCAAAGAACCTTCTATTTGATGCAACATTGAAACACTTGTTTGCTTCTTTATTAAAATGTTGTTTTGTTGTTGATTTTCCTTTATCTTGTTATTCACATTCAGAAGTTAATAGATAGCATCAAGATTTATCAGGGAGAATAGCAAGGGGAGTTGCTAAATCAAAGGCTTATAAAACATCTTTCCCAACGGAGTCAGAAGGTTTATTAAGTTCAACCCTCACACCTTTTTCACCTGCAGAAATATGAAAAGGAAATCAGTATTTTCAGCATTTATCAAAGCACAGTCTATAGAATTGCTACATCAATTTCCAGGTAAGTTTTAATGAGAGTGCTTCAAAGAGTGTCTAGTACATATGATCTAGCAAGACAGATACTTTTGTATATATGCTCTGTATCCTGTGCTCTGTAAAGTTAACGAGCCGTGGTTACTCATAATCTCTGAAAGTGGGCATGTGTTTGGCTGCCCAAGTAGAAAATTCTGAAGTTCTGAAGATCATAATCTCAGTCTTTATAAAGGTAAGCTTGATGAACTGCCAACTGAGGATATTGTCCATTGTTCTATATCAGCATATCCAGAGTTTCTGGGTATTTACCTGTGTAAAGAAACTCTGAGGGATTTTCAAAATGCAACATTCTATTTGACTTGCTGCTAAAAAAAAATCAACAAAACAAAACCACCGATCAACCCACACCTCTTCTATCCTTTTTTTCTAAAAATTGGCCTAGATAACTTCAGGTACTCCCAAATAAAAGTTTGATTATCAAAACATTTAACAGACTCAGTATCCCATATTAAAGAAAAATTCACACACATTCTGCATGGCTTTAGACTGACACAAAGCCAAAAATGAATGGGTTTATATTGTATGTCATTTTTTTCTATAATTTTATATTTTATTGGCAGTAGAAAATGAAAAGCATCTTGCACAATTCTTGCTGCAGATACAGAGCAAAGAATGCAATTGCACTTGCAAACGAAAACTGAAACCACAACAATACAATAATAAATCAATTACAGGGCAAACCAATACTGAAACTTAAACCACCTCTCCAACCCAGCCTTCCTTCCTTAAGTGCCTGCAGTTTAGGGGGACCCTGGAGAGGGAGAGGGGCTGGGGAGAAGCACCTTCCCTGCAGACACAAGCCCACTCAAATCACTTCCCTACATCTGAAATGGCAGTAGCTGAAGCTGCGTGGAGACAACAGAAACAGCTCTGATCCAGCAAGGCTGGCTCCAGGAGCGGCGCACTCACACGCGTGTGACACGAAGCTTGGCGTACAGACAGACACATTTCCTGCAGAGACCAGGCAGGCGTTATCCGGCATTCCCGACCACCTGGGAAGTCACTGTGCCTCACCGGGCATGTGCCACTGAGCAGGGGGACAGCCTGCCCGGCTGGACCTGAGGGACTCTGCATTTCTTCGCAAGCCAGGCAGGAGCCACATTGCTCTTGCCACTCCCAAAACGTACAAAGTCACCGGCTGCACCAAAGTGAACTGAATTAAACTGCAGCTTCTGCAGCCACTAGATAGCTCAGGGGCTACTTCTGAGCTTCAGACGCTTGGCAGCAAAGAATGGAAAGCTCATTTGAAAATGACTGGCATGTGTCTTCAACATCATTGGTTTCAGAGCTCTTGTCGAAACTGTGGAGAAACTGGCCCTGTGCATGTGTGCACTTGTGGTACACCCGGTTTTGCTTTATTTTTGCCTTAAACTACTGTAACAAAACCAAATTCCTGACGACAATTACAAGCATGACAGAAGTCCTAGGCCATTTCTCCTTATAATGCTAATTTGAACAGGAAAATTAGATCAACTTCCTCTTGAGGGAGAAGCCAGAAAAGGAAAACAGATGCTAGATATGTGGAATTGGAAATAGAGGAAGTAACTCCATTTTTTGATTCCAGATTTTCATTTTAGGCTTTTGTTTTTCCAATATAGAGATTCCAGTCAAGTTAAGTTGTATTCACTTGTTGAATCACTATATTTGATCACAGCTATGTCCAGGACTCTCAGTTCTGCAGTGCCTCACAAGTCTCTGGTATGCTTATCCTCCACACCTATTAGGGAGACAAAACTAGGGAGAAGCTGTGTCCCCCATACAAAAATACTAAGCAGCCTCAGGTCTCAGAGGAAGTGTGAGCAGGACAAGGCACTGACCTGGATTTCCCAAGTCACGGCCTAGCTGCTCAACCACTGGGTCACCTTCTCTGTAAAACCTGACTCTGAGTTATACTGTTTTTCTCCCCCTTTTTGTGCACAGTGTGGGCCAAGGAGATGAGGCTGGACTACTCAGCTACTCTTTCAGAAAAAAAAAAAAAAAAGAACACAGAAGATATTAACAAGAGGTTACCTGTCAGATATTTTACTTTAGCTCGTGCTCTTTCATCTGCATCAAAATACCACACTGTTATTGCGTACCTAGGAAAACGGACGGAAAAAGAACTCCTGAACTATGAGGAAAAAACACAGTGAAGCAGTTGACACAAAACACGACCTAAATGAGGTGATACCTCTGCAGTCTGACGGAAGGAAGATTTCATAAAAGGACAATGCCACCAGTTCTTTTTTTCTATTAGTATTTTCTGAACAGTCATTGAAAGGGTGCCACTGATGCTGTAAAGTTTACACTTCTTTTCCCTGATGAGTTGCTATTACGGTTCTTGCACAGAACCTGTAATAGAGTCTCTCTCTGTACTACCTTGCCCTGTGACCTCATCTTTTACTTTACTTGGTCAAGTCCTACACTGACTCACACTGCAAGATTCTCTTTTTTTGGACATCTGCCATAAGGGAAAATTAACTACCCCTTCTTACACAGCTCCTCTGGTTTTCCACTTCCCTTACAGGATTTAAATATGAAATGCCAACTATTGAGAAAAGGCGTTAAGGAGCTTTAGTAAATGGCATTTTACCCTCTGACTCTCCTAAGAGCACAAAGGGGGAGGGGAGAGCAGTACAGCCTCCCAAAAGGATGCAAGAGGACATGCCTACTGCAGTTTCAAGTTACTTCTTGCAAAGGTACTTGTGTTATCTCACAGCTCCAGCCAATGTTCAGTGCTCCGGCCATCCAAATGTGTTGTGACATGGGCAACAGGAAGTCTGGATCAACAACTCCCACGATTTACCTATTAACACCCTCTGTAAACGCCACTCGAGATGTGGGAGCAGTGAATGCAGGTACCTTTAGCATCATCCACTGCCCTAAGCCGAGGGACAAAGGAGGTATCAAGGTCCCCCTGTGACTCAGACTGGGAACAACTCCTCTAACACTCCAGGAAAAAGGAAAAATTTGTGTATCAATGATTGTTTCTGCCCTACAGCCCTTTCGCAATTCCCGAACTAGAACTGGTGGCTTCATTTGTAAGTTTAGTTTTTTAGTGGCTTAGTTTGTAAATGTAATTCTTAGTTAGCATTTTCTAACAACTCCCTCCCAACAAGAGGGGACATAATACTGGAGTACCTAGTCAATCTTCCAGTAACACAGTAAGGCGCTAAGGACAAAGGGAGGGGAGAAGAGTGTAAAGCCATTACAGAGAAATAATGAAGACAACACCCCCTGGCTAAGGTGAGGTCTGCTTATGGCTCCATGTGCTCCAACCCAGTTCTGCCAAGTACATGCTCAGAAACTTCTGATGTTTCCAGTCCTTCCTCCTACCCACCCAAGATGATGTTTTCTCCAAAGTAAGAGATCAGACCTTGGTACAAACTCGGCAGCACAGCAGAAGCCAAATTGATCAGTAGGGAAAAAAAACCCCTCTCATCACAGTGCAACTGGAACTGTACATGGAAAGACCCAGTATCAGCTTGTAATCCATAGTGCCACATATTTCTTGTTAGGATTTGTCCATTTCTTGATAAAAGAGGCATCATGCAATATACAGAGAGTCCATTAGTCCTACCTTGTAGCAAATGCTGGCTGTACTTCATGAGGGTTGCGGCGATCAGACCAGAAGAATAGCAGTCTATCAAATTTGGGTTCAATATCAGCAAATTGGGCTTTACCTTCTGGAAATATCCGAAGGATGCCTCCACTTACCTACAAATTAAATGTTTAAAACCAGTGTTTGAAAACAATGTCTCATTGTATTTAAAAGTACCAAATATCACATTTGAAAATATTTCAGACACTTGGAACTGAAATAAAAACCTTTGAGATGCCACAGAAATTATGAATCTATGGCTTTTCTGTTGATATATTTCATTTAACAAAGCGTTTTATGCTTTTTCACTGAGTAATTTCAGAATGCTTGCAAATATTAAACCTCCATTCATGTTTAAGTAAAAAGCTGTGGCTTTATATTCATTGGTTTTTTAGCTGCATTACCTACTTGCAAAAAATGGACAAGACTGACTGATCTTACACAGGTGTCTAAAAATATACCAATACAGATGACAGAAACATCGTATTTCACATCCAGATTTCGCCCCTTCCCATTAAAGAGATCGCTTCGCTTAACAGCGGCATTAGTTCATGTCATGTTTCTGTAATTAAGATGAGGAAAGACTAGGAAACTTCATACTAAAGTTTGAATCTGTATTACTCCTGGTGAATTTAGATCTCTTCCAGGCTTTGAAAAAACAGAACTACCTATGCATGCCTAGAAAACAGCACAAGTAGGTGGGTTTAATTATTTTTAAGTCACTAGGTGGGGTTATTTTTAAGTCACGTTAATTTCTTCCTACCGATAGTATTGATGTTGTTAAATCTAACTATAGATAGCCACTGTAGGCCTTCATTGGAAAGTCCTAACAGTGCAAGTGCTAACAAGGTAAATTGATATAAATGACTTGGTTTTTAATTGTGATCTAAATCAGCACACAAGAAGTAACAATTTAGATCAATTTGTTCTCCTCAAGAAAGTTTGAGCTTCCTTCTTTGCTAACCAATATGCTTGGTAATATATTAATTTGTAATTTAAAATAAGTTTTGCAGTAAATGAAATTCCTTTGTTCATAAATTAAATATGCAGCTAGTAAATTCTGTGAAATGTAAAAGTGTAATTTGCTTGACTTCTGCACTCTGGTATGCATTAATTTTTTTCCAGGAGAGAAACCATAAATCAACTAAAAATGCCCCAAAGCTGCATTTTAAGACGTTAAGTCCAACCAGTGAACTTATATGCAAAGATGCTATCATGGCAAAAAAGGCTAATAACTTATTTTCTAATTGAAGGATCAGATTTGACATTTCAAAGAGGAAGTCAGAAACAGAAAGCTTCCAGTGCAACTATTTCTGACTCAGCTTCCCGATCTACCATTTTTATGTGAGCATGTTATCAGTCTCATTGTCTCATCCAGCTCTTAAAAGAAATGGCCAGCACTCAAGAGAAAAACTCTCAGCTGCAACCTGTGTTGTCCATATCTGGTGCACCCAACTGACTGACTGTTTACATGCTCTTCCACATGCTACTTCCTAAGTACAATAAAAATATCAGTAGGTTTTATACTTCTTTTTCATGTACAATAAGAATAAATTTCTCCATAGCTAACACTGCACAGCTATCAAGGAATAAACAAAGCTACCTTTGCATTACTCTTGTGCTTTCAATACAGCCAGTTACCTACACACATTCTTTGAATCTACCTAATTGCACTGAATTGCTAGGAAAATCCTTATTAAAAATCCTTGTTACTTTATCACAGTCACTACATCTATGGAGAGTTTCAGTCACTGGTAGTAAATTCTTAGACCACTTGAACTGTGTTATAAATCTATTCTACACCCTGTATCTACAATGATACAAAGACCTGTGCTGTTTTGAACTATACTGATACAGCGATAACCGTAACACTTGGCTTATTTGAAACTGCTCCCGAGTTAGAGCATCTTTCTTTTTATAAGCATACTCAATTGAGTAATCCAGTCGCACAAACAGTAAACTGAAGATTCAACAGGAATGTAAGGAGAAATAAACTAAAAACAATTATCTTTCAAATATTACTCTTTGTGCACGTGTCTGTGGGGGTGTTTACCATATAAATAACGTACAATAATTGCATAATTAGATATTTATGAAATTTGGATACTAGCAGATACTTACACGTATAATTAAGAAACATACATGAAAAACATGCAATTTTCCTTCAATCTCATTGTCAATAAGGTCCTGCTGGCACCATTCAAAACCTTGAAAATAAACCCCTCACCCCTATCTGCTCTCACTAACAACAGAATCGGGGGGCAAAGGATACCCACAGTTAACGTAAGAATGAAGGCACAGAAATAAGGACATGAACAAAGACCTGTAGGCAAGTTGCATTAGCAAGCATATGCATGAAAAAGTTATAGAAATTACTGCATACCTTGGCATCCCAGTCTTTATTAAGATAATATATACACGTAACACATCTTCCATCTCCATTTGGATTATCCACATGGCGCACATATCCCGTTCCATTGCCTGGATAACAAGCCACCATAGCCTAGAGTCAAAGAATCAAAGACAACAATTAATTTTATCTGTGTGTGTTGGAAAAGCCTACATTTAATCTGTATTAATTCCCAACTTATTCATACATACGCAACAGAAAAAATAAGTTAGAAATAATGGGAAAATAATTTTTTAATCTGTTTTCTTTCTAGTTAAAAAACTGGTTTTGAACACAAACAGATATCTACAACAAAGGCACGAATCACATTGAGAGGAACACTGTTAATTAAGGTATGGAAGGTAGGACTGCTCCCATATTGTGACTAATCCTTCAGACTTCTCTCCCTTGAATGAAATACAAGAGAGGAAAAATGTCTTGCGCATAACTAAGTGCTTCTCCTTGTGATAAGGATACCCATTTTCCAGACTCAAGTTCACAGACAGCTATCTTTTTGTCTTTTTTTTTCCCTCTTCTCTCTCTTCTGTGATTCCAATGCAAAGAATTCCTCCTCAAAATGTAGCATCAAACTTTATTTTTAGGAGACTTTTTAGACAAGACCATTAGGCCATCTTAATCACTCCAAGTGCATTCTTGGGCTTGTGTTTTGTCCTGTACACAGGAGGTCTTTGAACCTTTGTTGAAACAAGCCTACATGTACAACAAAAACATCCTTTTTAGTCAAGAAGTGAGAAACTGAAAACGGACACCAAACAGTAATCTGCAATAACCTTCTGACATCAAACGATTCCCCGTACAGTAGTATATTCAACTTCCCAAGCTGCACTTAGCTCAGCTGACTTGAAAGACCCTTGGAAGGTGGTTTAATTTCTAAGTCTTCAGACATGCGGATGTGAGAAACAAACTGGCCATCTTGCTAACAGATGGCCTGATTAGCTTGATTAGCTATCAGTTCACACGGCCGGTTTGCTGTACAGCACATGCCTGTATCTTTATGCATTTGCTGGCAATAGTAATCATTTCAGGTTTTTGAGAAAAATCAGAACACAGTTTTTCCAAAGTCACACACTGCCACCACAGTACTCAGATGTCCGTAGTGACAAGAGCCTATTTGCAAAAAGCTGTAACACGAATTTAAAAGAAAACTGAAAAAGTGAGTTTCTACCAACAATCCAATACACTACTAGCCTCAATGGATGTCTGCTGTCTGAAAAAAAAAAAAAAAAAATCCAAAACCCAACAAACCTAAAAACTTTTGAACGCAATCATTCCCATTTACATTTAGCCTGGTTAAGTTAGAATTTAAAGTCAGACCCCTGGATTGGAACGCTTCTGCCTCTCATGTAAAAAATCACGTTTTCCCAATAAAATGTTAACTGTGAAAATGTAACATCAAAGTATTTCAAATCAACTGTTTCAGTGCATTTTTTGCTTTATACTGGTAATTTTAACTTCCCCCCCTTTTTTAAACATTAACAAATACAGCTTTCCACAGTTTGCATTACTTGCAAGAAACTGCTTTGAGTAGGCTAAAAAATAATTTAAAGTACTTGCAGTTCAATCAGTAAAACAACTGCATACCACTTGTAAGCAGAATGGATTTTGCTACAGCAGCAAATGTTTTAAAGTCTTTATTTCCATATATATGGTACTAAGGGAAGAAGCAATTTTTTGGTAGCTGCTTCTAGGCAGAAATCAGAACATAGTATTTGCCAAAAAGTAGCACCATGGTTATAGAAAACCCCCTAAAAACTAAGCCAAACTTCATTCATATGAGATGGAAGTGACTATATTGCATGAAAAATACTTAAAACGACAAAATTCAAATATTCTTGTAATTTTTAGATTAGGCACTTCAGATTCTCAATACCTTTACTGTAATCATAGTGTAGTCATCATTACAGGTCTCATGTTATGTAAACATATTACATGTATCAAGTAATGTGACCTAATATTTGGCAAAGTCATTACTTACCCCTTTTGCTTCAGGAAGATAAACCCACAAAAAATCAAAACAGTGAGTAAAAGATACCAAATAATGTAATAAGGGGTTCTGTAATTTCCTTTCTTACAAAGAAAAACGGAACAAAACAAAGGCGAAGCTGGGCTGGAAGAGGAAGATATTTGGTTTCCACTAAAAGCCAACCCTTTTGAAAAAAAGGCCCACGTACTACATAAACTCTATCAAGCTCTCACGGAGAGTGCTGAAAGCAGATCCAGGTCTGATCCTCTAACAGCATTCCTAATAACAGGAAAATTTTGATTTAAAATCTTCTGCTGAGAAGCATCACGTAAATTAAACCCTGACATTAACTGTTGCTCAACATCTCTGTGAAACCTACTAAAACTCATTAAGAATGAAGAAAACATTGAGACCAACCAGCTACAGCAATGTCAATTCTCACTGAAATCATGAGGAGTTAAAAAGTCTTCAGGCACGTAAGTGACCTACATATCTGTCACTGAGCTAAAAAAACCCCTGTGGTGTTAAAACTTTAGGACAGTCCCCAGGTCTCTCTGGCCAATACGGGTTTTTTTTCAAGGGCACACTTGATTGCCATCTGTTCCTCAAAAAGATAATTTTGCAGTTAGAGAAGCATAAATTTGCATCCTATTGCTATAGTTTCTTTTATAAGGTACCAAAACGGGTACTTGTTCTCTTTGATGAAGGGAAATCAGGAAAGGAATCTTTTAACATCAATGCTGCTGAAGAAAAAGAGGACTGGCAGCACTTTTTGTAAAGTCCAGGGAAACACCAGTTGTCATCAACTTCACATAAATAGCAGCCATATTCAATGTCAGAACATTTCATGCAATCATTTGAGTCTAAAATACCATTAATGTTTTAAAAAAGCCCTTAATTTTGACTTTATGGTCTGAACCTTCTGTTATCATCAACTGCAAGAGACGAGAAACAGTCTTGCTGCGATAACTTATCTAATTTGTAGTTGTTATAACAGTAAGAATGACTCAGCCTTTAGCAGCAAATTGGAAAGCAAACAAACTCACGAATCCACCGGTGTAGCATAATACAGATTGCTTTTGCCAGTTAGTGTGACAATTCTCTCTCCCCAGTTGAACTATGATAAGGAAAGTCACAGAACTTGACAATTTACAGGACACAGGAAATACATTGCTTTGTGAAACAATATGAAGCGAGTTCATGTAAAACTATCATGTACTGCAAGTTTATCCATATGGAAAGAATAAAAATGCGACGCAGGTAAATAATGAAGTCACACATTTTTGTTGTTGCTGTTTTAACATTTTACAGTATAAATAAGCAAGCAAATACATGTATGCCATGCAGAGAGAAAATCTGGAGTTTGTGGCTCTTTTTTTTTTAAACACTGTTAATTGCAGTCAAGAGAGTCAGACATCTGAGATCAGAATGTCCGAGACTCTCCGTCAACATTTTAGACTATGAACAATAAAGTTGTGTAGCTCTCCAAAACAAACAGCTACCTGTCTCATCAGTTCTCCCATAAAAGTAACTAATGAATTCAACTCCAGGCATTACTTGCATTTTCTTAACAGACAAGGAAGTCTTCCCTTCTGTGCTTCTTGGGCACTACAATTTTAAGGTATTCACTAATCTTAATTTCTGCAAAGAATATATTTAAGTCGCACACTGGATTTGTTCACCCACTGGATTCCTTTGCAAACACTTAATACTAACCTTCTTTAACCCAACCGCATTCTCTTGTAGTCTGAGCACTCACCCATGCCTAGCACATGAGCGCTGTCCTAAGATACCCTCTGGAATTCATGAGTAATCGAGAAAGCATGAAAGCGCCCTCACCACTCTGCAATCCGCCCAATTTGTGTCTATCAAACTTAAGTACTCACACACTTAAGAAGTTGCTGATCGCTGTTCACATACAGATGTTCTACTTGCAAATGTTTAACTCTACGAAATTAACTTTAGGCCATCAGCCCATTATGTTGTTAACAGAGGAAATAACTGAAACCACATATTTTTTTGCTAAACATTGCCATCCTTAGTGAGCCAATTAATTACTCTAATTAACGATTAAATGCACGAAGGTAATATTAGAAGGGATAATCCATAGTCCACACGGTTTTGTTCACTATGTAAAGAGGCACCAGATGTGACACTCATCAACCCTAGGAGCCTGGGAGGCACAGCACATCAGTGCAGCCGATTATTTCATTTGGGAGCAGTCTCGACCTCCTTTCACAGCCTCATCCATATATAAAGAAGGAAAACTTGCAGGTAAACAGACCGAAGCTTTTTCTGTTCTCTCTATTCCTCTCACAGCTGGATACCTGCAAGTTTAGGTATTGTTCCTTAAAAAAACACAAACAAACAAACCAAACCCAAAAAAACCCCAAACCAAAACCAAAAGCAAAAGCAGCAACAATAGCAAACTCTTAGGAAAGAGAAGAAAATACCACTTACGTGACAACATAAAATTCCTTAAGGGGGAAGAGGAACCCCAAACCACAAACATAAAATGGAGAGAGGATGTGTGCTCTTGTCATATTAATTTATTAATGTAAAATAAATTTGTTGTTTAGCTCAGATTAAAGAAAGCTGCATCAGTCAAGGAGATGTCACTTTTGCTGTTTGCTGAAGGAACTGCAAATCTCAGTGAGCAAAACAAGATGTCTAAATGCAAGACCGATGACTTCCTACCAAAATTTATCAGATGCTCTCACAACAACTTCACTGGAAAACCCTGGCATGGGTTATCTGACAGATTATTCAAAGAAAGAAAAAAAAGCCACACATCACTGGAATGAAGAACAAAAAAAACAAAAAAAAAAAAAAGGAAAAAGAAATCAGACATGTCCCATTTTTGTCCATCTGGGAATTATTTCTAGTTCCAGAATTTGTTCATCCCTGACAAACAACAGTCCTGAGGAAATGCATTTCAGTTTAAGCACACATCAGTCAAGATTTTTCACAAGGTGTACAAAGTAATAATCAAACTGAAGGAAAAAAAGACTGTATTGGTACTACCTTGTGTGAGCAGTGTCAAGATTACTGACTTAACCATGCTAATATGTACAACTTGGCTTGGATTCATAACTCTTTCTGCAAATTCTTCACAAACAGGGACAGA